TGGCCAGTTCAGAATCAAAGTACAAAAACCTGAGTGGTCAGACACCGTAACAGGCTTCCCAGAGAGGTTGTGGAGTCTACCCCATCTCAGGAGTTACTCAAAACCTGACTAGACTAGGTCCTGGAAAACCTACTCCAGCTGATTCTGCTTGGGAGTAGGATGTTGGACTGGATGACCTGAGATCTTTTTCAACCTAAATGATTCTGTATGCTTAGAAGAAAACATCTCCTCTGATACATCACAAGAGAAGCTCTAATGTATGGTCTTCACAGCATTCAGTATGTATGGCTGTATGAAGAGAGCAGACACTACACATCACCAGTACTGCAAAACCATCAAAGATAAATTCCATTTTAATTGTAATGACTAGCCACATTCTCAAAATTAAATAAAGCTTAGGATTCACAAGGCCAAAAATGGCATCTTTGGTATCACAGTGTTCTTGGTCTGCTTAGGAAACAGCGCTTAACAAGCTCAGAAGTCAAAATACCAGGGTATTTCTTTCATCAAGATACGAGCTTATATTTGCTTCTTGGTATTATTAAAGTAACGGTTAACCCACACAGGGGAAAATGCATTTGTAATACCTGAATAGGAGATACCGCACTTGAAAGTGCTTTGTGTCTTCTGTAGCTAACTCTGTGGATTCCAGTGTGATGGGTATCTCACATAGCTTACTTTCTTCCCCAAGTAGTTCCACTGGCTTCTGACATATGATGAACTCATCTAATTCAAGCTGCAAAGTATGTGTTGAAAGGTCTTCATCTTTTACACCTTAACAATGGAAATGCATTAATTATTCAAACCATTCCATTTAGTAATAACAATATGCTGGCACAACATCAACTAAACATTCTAACTACAGCTACCTAATAAGCAATGGCTTCTTCAAACCATGAGACTTTCAGAAGAGCTCTGCTAGAAGACAAGAACAATCTTTCATTTAGGCCTGTTGTGGTTTAACCTGGTCGGCAGCTAAACACCACACAGCCGTTTGCTCACCCTCCCCCCTCCCTCTCTGGGATGGGGGAGAGAAATGGGAAAGTGAAGCCCGTGAGTTGAGATAAAGACAGTTTAATAAGACAGGAAAATAATAATAACAATAATAACAATGATGATGATAATAGTACTACTACTAATAATGTGTACAAAACAAGTGATGCACAATGCAATTGCTCACCACCCGCTGACCAACGCCCAGCCTAACCCCGAGTAGTCTGGCCCTCCTCCCCCTGGCTAGCCACCCCTATACATTGTTCAGCGTGACCCCAGATGGGATGGAACACTCCTTTGGCTAGTTTGGGTCAGCTGTTCTGGGTCTGTCCCCTCCCAGCTCTTGCTGCACCCCCAGCCTGCCTGTAGGCAGGACAGAGTGAGAAGCTGAAACGTCCTTGGCTTTGTGTAAGCACTGCTCTGCAACAATTAAAACATCATCGGGGTGTTATCAGCACTCTTCTCACCCTAGGCCAAAACACAGCGTTCTACCAGCTACTAGGAAGAAAATTAACTCTGTCCTAGCTGAAACCAGGACAAGGCCTCACCTGTCTCATTCCTTCAGAGTCAAGATTTCTGAAAGAACTGGCAGTGAAAGAGCTGGCAGAGTGTACTTGCAGCCCGAAGAGCCAACTGTATGCTGGGCTGCATGAGAAGTGCAGCCAGCAGGTTGAGAGGTGATTCTCCCCTTCTCGTTGAGCACCCACCTGGAGCACCACGTTCAGCTCTGGGGACTGCAGCACAACAACCACACGGAATCGTTGTAGCAGGTCCCAAGGATTTGGACAACACTCTCAGACATAAGGTCTGATTTTCAGGTGATCCTGTGCAGATTCAGGAGTTGGGACTCAGCGGTCCTTGTGGGTCCCTTCCAACTCAAGATATTCTATCATTTTGAAGTTCATGAGATGATTCTTTCCTTCAGCCTCTTCCTTGTCCCTTAGAAGAGACGCGCTTATCTGGGCAGTGACACTGACGGAAGAATTTTTTCTGAACACAACACACTGACTTCCTCCCACTTTGATTTGGCCAGTAGTGGTACCCCAAAACAGATACCTAGTTCTGTGGCTGCACCATCCTGAAAGCGTCCACAGAACAACAGCATATTTAAGTGTTACCTCCAACTACATGTAGCAGAACTTTTCATGCACTGTAACTTTCAACTGATGGCCCAAAAATTATCTTAAAATACTTTCTGAAGGGCAATTACCTTGTTAGAGCCTACTTCAAGAGTAATAGCGATCACTTAACAGATTCCCAGAGGCAGAAAAAAAAAAATATCTCTACTTACTTCCATTCCCAGGTTCTTCTAGTGTACTAACTCGATGTGTGGATTGCTCTGTACTGTCTGCACTTTGGATCAGTTCCAGTTTCAGGATCAGAACATCCAAGTCTGTTGTTATGGCTATATGTCTGGCACAAAATGCAACTTCAGCAGGAATGAAGTTATCAATGTGTAAAATTAAGGTGCGTTCAAAGTCTAATACAGTCAAATTCTGATTTATGACCAGATATTTCAAACAGAACATGACTAGTTTATTTTTGCAGCCCACAAGAAGATCTCCATTTACAGGACAACATGAAACGCACAGCGGAGGATCTGAAAGTGGCATTTCCACAATTGACATCTGTTCTTTTAAGGTTTCACTGTATGACTCTTCCATCTTGTGACCAACCATCCGGACACAAACACGAGAACTCCCCGCAGACATGCATCTCCAGTTCATATATGCTCTTAGGAAAGTTGCTTTGCTTTTCTCCTCAATTGTCACCAAATAGTCTCCTTAAAACAAAGCAGCAGTACTAAAACGTCAATATAGAATAGATGACAGTTTTTGAGCTGTTTAGCTGCTATTCCAACAAAGTACATTTCAAATAATCTCTTAAATTCTCAACTCTCACATAAAATTTTAAAGAAGTCTTCACCAATGTTTCTTTAACGAAAACCAGAGCACAAGTTTCTTTGCTAGATGAAGCACAATTCACACACCAATAAAGTGACCTAACATACAGGTCTAGGGCCGGATATAACTTTAAAATGAACCCACTTTAAGAGCAGAGCTCGCAGACAAGGTATTTTTTTTTAACCCCTAAATACCCGTTAACAAAAAGTCAATTAATTTAAACAAGTCATTAACAGCTGTGGAATCGGCTGGGGAGAAGAGACACAAAAACCACCCGTCCCGCGCTCTGAAATCAGAGCGGCCAAGGGCGGGAGCGCAAGGCCCCACCACAGCGGAGGAAGACGACAACAGACGGGCGCCGGGCGGCTCCACGCTGCCCCTCCGCGCCTCAGCCGCCGCTTTACGAGCTCGCCCGCGGCAGGCGCCCGGCTCCGCCGAGAGGCGCCTGACCCCGCCACCAGCGGCCGCGCCGGGCGGGCGGGGACCGCCACGCCGACCTGCCGCGGGGCCGCGACACGCTCCCGCCCCCGGCACCGGCCGCCCGCCCCGGCGGAGCCCCACGGCCTCCGCTCGCCGCTCACCCCAGCCCAGCAGGGCCCGTTTGCGCCGCCCCGCGCCCGGCCCGGACACGCCTCAGCCTCTCCAGGCCCAGCGGCGGCCGGCACTGACCTGCTCGGCTGTGCGCCATGTGCAGCACGGATCCCAGCGTGGCGAAGGAGCCCAGCGGTTCGCAGCGGCCCTCGTGGCGCACGGCGAACACCTCCACCCCGCAGCTGGCCGCCGCGCCGGCCACGAACAGCACGTCGGGCCCGCAGCAGAAGTGCGCCGGCTCCTGCCCGCAGGGCACTACTCGCTGCGACCCGAACGGGTGCAGGTTGTAAAGCTGCACCATGGTCCCCGAGCCCCCCCCTGCTACAGCAGCGGCCACAGCTCCCGGGGCCGCACAGTCCCCCTCGGCTTCCGCCTCCGCCCACGGTTCCGCAGCGGGCGCGGGGCGGGGCGGCGCTGGGGATTCCCGCGCGCCACTCACAGGATCGTAAAGCTTGGAAAGGACCTGGGTGCATTTCCTTCGTTACGCGTTGCTCGGTTCGAATGTAAGTTGCGGCGGAGCGCCGAGCAGTCGGAGGTGAGCAGGCGCCGAGTTGGAGTGGGTGCCACTAGCAGTAGCGTCCCTAGCGAGTTGGGCTGCTGGGATCTGGGACCTTCCAGCGTCCTGGATGCAAAAACACCTTTGGTTTTGAAAACAGCAGTTCTTTAGAACTTCGTAACTTGTGCATCCATGGTATGCTCTAGATACAAGAACTTCCACATACTTAATTCCGGGTATCTTCAGCACACGTAGAAAATCTTTTCTTCCTCGTGGTTTTATAGAGGAAAACAAAACAAAACAAAAACAACCAAAACCCCTTTTTTCTCATTTACAGAACTCAAGATTGAACAATTTTAAGCAAGTAGGTCAGCAGTTTTTACCTGTGTCTCATGACTTGGCAATTTCTCAAGTGTCTATAAAGTTCTGTTCATTTGAAAGTACCACAAAAGAACGTATTTTTAATAGGTTAATGGAGGAATTTAAAATAGGAGTATTTTTAGCAGATTTTCATCTAAAGGGAATTGAATGCAGGGAGGCACGCTTGTCAGAAAATTTTACATTTTGTCTGCATAGTCTCTCCATTTTCATGTTTTTATTTTTCAAGGTAGCAAGTTTTGTCCTGTTAGCTAGTATACTGGTACTAAATTCAAATCAATACTGTAATTGTATGTGCCATAACTACAATTAGGGAAATTACTTTAGTATATTATTTTTTTGTGTGTCTTCTGTGAAGCTAGCTTCAAAGCAACAATATGCTTAATATCGGGTTTCTGTCTATTATGTAAAGACAGGCTTGGAATAACACCCATTAATCCTTTAACAAAAAGAAGTTTCCTGCTTGTGCAAAACTAAAAATAAAAGTTTGTCACAAAATGCTTCAGGATCACAGGAAATTCTATATAATTTCCTGATTTTATCTTTAGTTTGCACATTACTAGATGCTACCAAAATTGCAGTTTCAAGTGGTCCTTATATAGTGACTATAGATGTAAATAGTAATGAAGACAAAGAGAGAACCTTTAAAACTTTATTTGAAAACAATCAAACAAGTGAACAGGGTTCTGCAATTTGTTGTTGCTGAACATACTTTTCCAGACTTCAGTTTTCTAAATATTCATCTCCTTCTTCAGCCTCTGCTTCTACTGAGTCTACCCCAACTTCTTCATAATCTTTCTCAAGCGCAGCCAAATCTTCGCGGGCTTCAGAAAATTCTCCTTCCTCCATTCCTTCCCCAACATACCAATGTACGAAGGCACGTTTAGCATACATGAGATCAAATTTGTGGTCAAGGCGAGCCCATGCTTCAGCAATAGCAGTTGTATTACTTAACATACACACAGCCCGCTGCACCTTTGCGAGGTCACCACCTGGCACCACAGTTGGAGGCTGATAGTTAATGCCCACCTTCAAGGAAACAAATGAAAACTTTGAGTGGGAAGGGTTAAAGACATTTCTGTTAATAATGAACAAACATCACGGTTATGGACAAATAGCTTAGAATTATTTTGCATTTCATGAGCATATTTAACTAAATCCTAATTCAGGATCAGATCAAATTAATATTGGGACAATATTAGGTAGGCTGCACTAGAGAATTTTTTTTTACCAGATTATAACAAATAAGTCACACAAATGACTGTGGAAGGGCCCTAGAAGAAATAATTGGTAGTAAGAGCTTACTGGACTCTAAATAGAACAGAAGAATCTGGTCCTTTCAAGTCCTGAATGCACTGACAATAGCTAGAAGGATTGATTGCTTATCTGCAAGGTGTCATTGTCAGCCATGTTGACATTGTTAACAACAGCACAAAAGATTTGCCCTAGTGATAGAAGCCAGGTGTCATAGAACATCTGTCATCACAGTACAGACCCGGAAATTGACAGCATCTGTCATTTTAAGGTATCTCAAAAATGTTGTTGGGAAGTTACTGCACTTTACTACAATATAAGTTACCATGGTGTTTCTACAGTTGTTTGAGGTTTACCTACACTTTCTCTATACAGAATTACCTAGGTTTTTGAAGACTTGCAGAAAAATATAACACAGTTTTTTTTCTACCCACCTGTTTTTAAATTGTTTTCAGATACTCAGTATTGCCTGTTGCTATAAAAACTGATAGCTTATCTATAACTTGGTACAGAATTTTCACCTGTGTTGCAGTATCTTGGATTTATACTTAAGAATGTAATCTGAAACGTAAGCAGTTTGCTAACAGGGACATTACAACATTATACAGTGACCATCACATCTAAATACTATGCAATTCCTAGTATTTTAAACATCAAGCACCTCCTAAGTTATTTATGTACCTTGAATCCAGTTGGGCACCAATCCACAAACTGAATGGTACGTTTAGTCTTGATAGTAGCAATAGCTGCGTTAACATCCTTAGGTACGACATCACCTCTATATAACATACAGCAGGCCATATATTTGCCATGGCGAGGGTCGCATTTTACCATCTGATTAGCTGGTTCAAAACAAGCATTGGTAATTTCAGCCACAGATAACTGCTCGTGATACGCTTTTTCAGCAGAGATGACAGGAGCATATGTTACCAGGGGGAAATGGATTCGTGGGTATGGGACAAGGTTAGTTTGAAATTCAGTGAGATCTACGTTGAGGGCTCCATCAAAACGCAGTGAAGCGGTGATGGATGAAACAATTTGCCCAATTAGTCGGTTTAAATTGGTATAAGTAGGACGTTCTATATCAAGGTTGCGACGACATATATCGTAAATGGCTTCGTTATCTACCATGAATGCACAGTCTGAATGCTCCAGTGTGGTGTGCGTAGTTAAAATTGAATTGTAAGGTTCTACTACAGCAGTGGAAACCTGGGGTGCTGGATAAATTGCAAACTCTAGTTTAGATTTCTTTCCATAGTCAACAGAGAGCCTTTCCATGAGCAGAGATGCAAACCCTGAACCAGTGCCTCCTCCAAAACTGTGAAAGATAAGGAAACCTTGCAGCCCTGTACACAGATCAGCCTATAATGGGGTAGAAAAAAGTGGGAGAGAAAGAGAAGTTATTGATTATTCTGGAGAGGGTAATATTAAAATAAGCATTACAAAGCAATTATTTCCTAATTCTTTTAGTTTTAAAAGGTGAACTTTTTTTTCTTGCATATCTTTTACTCAGAACTACCAGTGACACTGCATACCTTATTCTGAATATGAGTATTTTCACATTTAAAAGTAGCATCATTGTTTTTGATGCCACTTTAACACTACTGTAAGCAAGAACAGCTGTATACCACTGTGAAGTTATTATAAATCACAGCTGGGTTACACCCTTGGGAACAGATTCTACTCTACATGGCAGCAAGTATCAATTAAGTATTGAAAACCAGTATTTTACAATTTTACATAGACAATCACTATTTCACTTTGAATCATGTCGTACTATGCGAGTTTCTCACAGTGCATCAGGATGTGAAAATCTAGAAAAATACTTGAAATTTCTGAGCTTTCAACCAAAACCTGAGGTTCAGGTACTGGAATTATTTTGCTTGACACATAAGGGTGCAATTCAAGTTGAAAATAACAAACAAGTACAACAATATGACCATGCTTTTTTAAGGATTTTATAGTATGTTTCCAAGGTATCCTTAGAATGACTTCAAATAATGATGTTTCAGATCCTAAGAAGCTTCAAGTTTTATTGACCAAATTTTTATTTACCTCAAAAGGGGGAGGCAGGAAGACTTCTTTTTTTTAAACATTGTAATGGATAATTGATTTTAAAAAAACAAACAACACAAGTGTCAAATCGTAGTTATAGATAGCTGTAGGGCTGTATCAATTATTTTAAATAACTGCATGACTTACAGTATGAACTCTTACCAGTTTGCGAATGCGGTCTAGCACGAGATCAACAATCTCTTTTCCAATGGTATAATGGCCTCTAGCATAATTATTAGCTGCGTCTTCTTTCCCAGTAATGAGCTGCTCAGGATGAAATAACTGCCTATACGTGCCTGTACGTACTTCATCTACAAAGAAATAGAATATGCCAACGTGAAATCTGGCTGTTCAGTTCTATGCATGCTGCCTAGCAGTGAAATACTAAGTAAACACACATATCAAAAGGGTGTAGACAGCATCTGTGACTACATGCAGCTTGTCTGACTAGTGTAAAAAAGTTGACACAACTTCAGCCCCTTTGTGTAGAGGAAAACATCAAGCACTCAGAGCATTACAAGGATCTGGGAACACGGAGGTAACTCAGAGAACTACATCACAGGCATAGACAGACATATTCTAGATAGCAATTAAACGAAGCTCAGCTCTGGATGTCATGCAGCAGTTTGGAAAGATTATCCACAGACTGCAAAAAAAGTTCTAATGTCTCCCAAATGTTCCCCACAGATCATTATTTAATTTCTTCTTCCAAGTAACAGTAATTTAAAACGTCAAAGCAGCATCCGAGTATACATCTTTTAGAATCTGCAGTGTTCTGAAGATACAGAGATGTCTGCAGGGAAAGGAGTGGTTTCACAATGATGTACATGTTGGGTACGTACCAACTACAGTTGGCTCTAGGTCCACAAACACTGCTCTGGGAACATGTTTACCAGCTCCTGTCTCACTGAAGAAAGTGTTAAATGAATCATCTCCACCTCCGATAGTTTTATCGCTGGGCATTTGACCATCAGGCTGGATCCCATGTTCAAGACAATACAATTCCCAGCATGCATTGCCAATCTGAACACCAGCCTGACCAACGTGGATAGATATGCATTCACGCTGAAAATTAAAAATAGAATAATGATAATGAAATGTAGAGCTACCCATCTTCTAGATTTCACTCTCCTAATAACCAGCAATCTGTGGGTTTAGTTACCATGATCCTTCTCTGCTGCAGTATTCCCCAGCTGCTTTCAAGTGAAAATTTATAAATATTGGCTTCTAATTGTATTGTGGGTTCCACTGCAATCTTTCGCTAGTGGCCACACCTCACAGCATGTTACAAACGAGGGGCAGGCTATGATCCAATGGCCTCATTGTTCTCATCCATTTTTTGACCTTCCCTAAGGTTAAAAGGCCTAATCAACTAACTTAGACTAAACATATGGTTTAGTGGGGACTGTTAGTGTTAGGTTAGAGGTTGGACTCGATGATCTTGAGGTCTCTTCCAACCTAGAAATTCTGTGATTCTGTGATTACACTGATCAAGTTGTCTCCTGCTGGCAAGATTCTACTCGCCTCAGTTGATCTGGACTATGATATTGAAAACGTTGTAGAACCTTAGAGACTACATAGTCATAGAGAACACGTAGGGTGAATGCAATAGTATCATCCCTTACCATGCTACACGTGTATTCTATCTTTAATATTGTCTAGTCTCTTTTCCACCTTTCCTTGGTTTTGAAAGACTTAGTTTTATATAATAACCCCACATTTCCTTGATTTATTGCCAATAACGTACTGGGCAATGTTGCAAGAATCTTTCCCACATTAAACCTTCTAGTATGTTTTTCCGTGCAATAAAGTTATCTAGTGCCTGGAAATCCATACATCTTTGAGTTCCTCTGCTAAATCACCAGTGTAAGCATGCCACATGTTTAATCTCTCAAAAATCTTAATTTTTGTCTTGCATCTGAGACTAAGATAAATTGTTATTCTAGCTTAGTGTTACAGTGTTTCTAGGAAAAAGCAGAGACGTAAAATAAATGGTAGGGTGTCTATAGTCCTCTTTTCTTCACGGCTTCATCAAAGCTTGCATCCTTGACTCCATGTTTGTATTCTCACTCAGGGGGTTCTGGCATTAACCCGTTGCCGGCAAGGCTGACTCTGCACTTATTTCTGCTTCCATTCGGTTAGCACCAAGTTTCTAAAGGCTTTGTGCTGCCTGTCTCCAGTTCCCCATCGCGTTTGCACCACGCGCCTCGGAGCGGGAGCAGCAGGCGCCGGGCACCACCCCGCAGCCCCGCCCGTGCGCGGGCAGCCGTGCCGCATGGCGGGCTACGGGCCAACCCCCTCTCCTCCGAGTGGCTGCCTGCGACTCGCGGAAGCTCTGAGCGCTGCCGCCGGCGCCACGAAACGGCAGAACGAAATGTTTGGCTGTTGTCTTGCGCTTTCCCGCCGTCTCTCACCTCGGGCGGGTGTAGTCTATCCCTCACCTGTCACCTTCTCTCCACCCCGCCGACAGCGAGGCCACCGCTATAAACAGCCTTTCGTTGCTTTTCCACGCGGTTTGTCCCGATAGCCACCGGCCAGTTCCTGCACATCGCCTGCCTTGACGTGTTAACTTACAGCCACCTCCCTCCTCCCCCCCAGCCCTCCCACCTTACTGCGACCGTGGGGACTCCACGGGGCAGCTCTCTGCAAGCCCCGCCATGGTAGACGTTATCCTAAGATCCCCAGACCCGCCGCAGAAGCGCTCCCAAATTCCCTGCCTCCTCCCAGCCGCGAGAGGCCCGCTCCCCACCATGTTGCCTGGCCAAGCTCAGGAGCCTCGACTGCACCAGACCGCGTCCGCCACCTCCCGCCGAGCACTGCCAACTGCCGACGAGTAACCGTCTCGATCCGCTCGGCTTCGCGCGCTGGCTTCCCATTGGCTGTTACCCGCGCGCTCCAGAGGGGGCGGGCTTGAGTTTTGCTGAGCGGGGACGTTCGCGTGTCGGCGCGGGCCGAGGTGCTGCGTGCAGTGCGTGCTGGGGGCTCGAGGAGTCGCCTCAGGGCGGGCTCGGACTGCCCGCTGCGCTGAGGCAGCAACGGAGGTCCTAGCGCGGGCTCGCCGCGCGCGCCTACGCTCGCAGCAGTCTGGAGGCTGCTAGGGCGAGTGGCTGGAAGCGGGGCCGGCTGCGAGAGCGCGGGCGTCACTGGAGCAGGCTTCTGCGGCGGCCGTTTGGAGGCGGCGGGAGGGCCGGTACCTCTCAGTAGAGCCGCGCGCAGCCACGAACCGGGCGGAGAAATCCCTCTCAGCAGAAACGGCAGGGGTGCCTCCCATTAGACCAGGCTGCCCAAAGCCTCATCCGGCCTGGCTTTGAACAGTGCCAGGGATGGGGCATGTACAGCTTCTCTGGGCAATCTAATCTGTTCAGTGCTTTGCCACCCTCACAGTGAGGAATTTCTTCCTTGTATCTCATCTAAATCGCTTTCAGTTATAAACCCCGACTGCCCCTTGTCCTGTCACTACACTCTCTGATAACGAGTCCCTCCCCCCTCTTCCCTCAAAGTACTGGAAGACTGCTCTCAGGTCTCCCCTGCTCTCGGCCTGCCTTCATAGGCGAGGTGCTCCAGTCCTCTGATCGTCCTCATGGCCCTCTTTGGGACCTGCTACAACGGTTCCATGTGGTTGTTGTGCTGCAGGCCCCAGAGGTGACCATGGTGCTCCAGGTGGGGGCTCAACAAGAGGGCGGTCGAGAATCACCTCTCTTGACCTGCTGGCTGCACTTTTTCAATAATGTTAGTTTTAACTAATAGGACAAGGGAGTCGTAGAATCATAGAACCATTCAGGTTGGAAAAGACCTTCAAGATCATCTGGCCTGACCACCAATGTCACCCACTAAGCCATGTCCCTAAGCTCCATGTCTGACCTTTCCTTGAACACCCACAGGGACGGTGACACCACCACCTCCCTGGGCAACCTGACTGCTCTTTCTGAGAAAAAACGTCTCCTCATTTTTAACCTGAACCTCCCCTGGCACAGCTTGAGGCCACGCCCTCTAGTCCTATCACTAGTTACCTGAGGGAAGAGCTGACATCCACCTCCCCGCTTCCTTTCAGGTAGTTGTAGAGAGCAATAAGGTGTCCCCTGAGCCTCCTTGTCTCCAGACTAAATCAGCAGCTCCTCATAGGACTTCTGTTCCAGGCCCTTCACCAGCTTTGTAGCCCGTCTTTCGAGGGCTCAAGGGCCTTGATGTCCTTCTTGTGCTGAGGGGCCAAAAACAGTACTTGAGGAGTGACCTCACTAGAGCAGAATACAAAGAGACAATCACCTCCCTGGTCCTGCTGGCTACACTATTCCTGATAACAAGCCAGGATGCCGTTGACCTTCTTGGCCACCTGGGCACGCTGCCAGCCCATGTTCAGAAAAGCATTAATCAGCACCCCCAGATCCTCTTCCTATTCACAGCTTTTCAGCCACTCTCCCTCAAGCCTGTAGAGCTACGTGGGGTTGTTTGGGCCAACAGGCAGGACCCAGCGCTTAGCCATGTTGAACCTCATTCCATTGGCCTCTGCCCATCAACCCATCCTGTCCAGGTTCCTCTTCAGAGCCTCCATACCCTCCGGCAGATCAACACTTCCCCCCAACTTGGTGTCATCTGCAAACTTACTGAGAGTGCACTCAATTCCCTCATCCAAGTCATCAATAAAGATGTTAAAAAGGATGGGCCCCAACACTGGGGAACACCACTCGCGACTGGTCACCATCTGGATTTAATTCCATTCACCACTACTCTTTGGGCCTGGCCATCCAGCTTTTTATAACTGAGCAAAGTGTGTACCTGTCCAAGCCATGGGCTGCCAGCTTCTCCAGGAGAATGCTATGGGAGACCATAAAGACCTTGCTGAAGTCTAGGTAGACTATGTCAATGGACCTTCCCTCACCCACTAGGCGGGTCACCAGGTCATAGAAGGAGATGATATTGATCAGGCAAGGCTTGCTTTTCATGAACCCATGCTGACTGGGCCTTATCCCATGGTCATCCTGCATATGCTGCGTGATTGCATTCAAGATGACCTGTTCCATCACCTTTCCTGGCAACGAGGTCAGGCTGACAGTCCTGTAGTTCCCTGGGTCCTCCTTACAACCCTTCTTATAGATGGGTGTCACATTAGCAAGTCTCCAGTCATCCAGGATCTCTCCAGTTGACCAAGACCACTGATAGATCATGGAAAGCAGCCCAGCAAGTTTTAGAACTAGTTTTAGCCCAGCACTGAACTGTTCTGAAATAACTCTATTTTGTGCTTTTGGACTAGTACAGAGTATAGGTGTTAAAACTAAGTAATTCCTAGCTAACAAATGAATCTGAGCTTAATACAGGAAGTAGTAATACAGCCTTAAGAACACTGTTGTTACTGTGGTGTTTATACTACTTTTGTGTCTGAGAATACAACGTGTGGTATTCTTTTACCCTGCACACATTGAAGGAGTTGTTTTCCTAATCAGGGTAGGTGCAGTTATTCAAGCAGCTACTTGATTTTTACTTGCCCAAATAGCATCCGTTGTGTTTAAAAACAATTTTATGTTCTACAGGGCTTACATTAGAGTTTATTCCATAGTAATCAAAATAAAAATTCCCTTTTCTCAAGCTCCATTCTGCTTGTGTGAAAAGCTTCAGCGGGTATTTCCTCTAGCAGCTCCCTGGCAAGTGATTATATACTCTGAAAATAATTACAGAACTGGAAGTTGGATATTTGCTAATGGTAGCTAGAATGGAATTGAGAGTTTAGGGATATAGCTGTTGAATATTTTAAATTATACTTCAAAGCTCCCCCCCCCCTTTTTTTTCTTTTTTAAGAATTGCTCAAGAGTTTGAGGAAACCAGAAATATAACTTCTTTTTATTTTTGCATCAAATGCAAATAACAGATCAAGCTCAGTTTACAGGGCCTGTAGAATATCGAACTAAACAAATGCATTCTGCCATGCTGTATGCACTGTGTAAGAAAACCTGGTCAAAACTTCAGTGCAATTGTGACTAGAAGAGCAAAGCAGTGCTATTACTGTTACATATTTATGTATCCTTAATGTCATCAATACATTTATGGTAAACCAGAATAGCTATCAGTCTAGTGAGCACTCCCATCTATCAGATTTTACACCTAAAATAGCAAGCAAAGGAATCAGTGCTAATCACCTTTATGTGGTGAAGTACAAACCCAGTGTCAAGGAATATTTTGAGCCAACTGATCGCAGCAGAAGAAAATGTGAGCTGAAAATACCTTTATCTAGTAGAGAGAACTGGATATTGGGCAATTACATCTGGCCCAAGGAATTCTGCTTCCTAGCTTTTGCTCAGTCTTCATCTGTAGCACTGCACTGGCCTTCAGCCAACAGTTTTTTCAAACTACTTGCAAGCTTAACTGACCACCATCTACAACCTTTCTAGCTGTTAGTTCTGGAACAAGTCCTTGTATTGCCAGTGCTCGAAACTGGCATTTCTACTGAAGGTAGGAGTCCAGTTTCTTCTTGATATTATCAAAGGAATCCATTCCCATGTAGTCAGCTTGACCTTGTTCCCACCGTTCCTTGCGTTCTTCTGAAGATATGGTTGGTAATACTGGTGATGGTGTTGATACTGACATGTGGGACACTGCCTCTGTAACCTCTGCCTAAAATGAAAGGCAGAGTAAAAATACAGAAATACCTTGCATATTTAAGGCAAGCAGCAGGCCATAGAACAGGACAACTAAATGGATGTTCTCATGCACAGCAACAAGCATTGCCAGTAAACAGGAATCATGCAGCTTTCCTGGTAAAATAACAGAGTAACAGAAGTCACTTGGGGGGAGGGGAGTTTAAGTTCTTCATACCTCTCTACAGAAGCCACAAGAGAAAGCCAGAGTATAGACCAAGCCTGATAGCTGCAAATAGTTCATTAGAAAGATGTAAGATTAACGAGAGCACATCTTAGAGATCAGCAACCTTAGGCTTAGAAAGGTTTAGAACTTAAACTGGCCCATGTACTAAGCTGAGACTGCAAAGTCTGCAGCCACCTGCTACTAAACCGTGCTTAACTAAGCTGTGCTTAAGAACTACAGTTAGAAGCATTATTTTGGCTTTATAAATATCAAGATTCATCACTGCAAGTCTACTTAAGTAATTATTTATTGTAGGCCTACCTTGTACCATGCAAGATCTGCATGTGCATATTGCATGCTCAACTGGGGTTCTTCTGTTTGAGAACGTTACTAGCTGCAGCACATTAAGGATTAGGGCCCTTCTCTTTATTTACTAAAGTTACTACAGTATCATTTCTGGTGCACCATTATGCTCTTAAGTAGTTCTAGGCAAGCAGACAGCTATGTTCAAGACCACTATAGCATACTTCCCATCTGTGTTATCCTTTATTCCAAGCTTAAAAGAACAAAGCCAAAAAACTCTGCACCCCACCAGTTAAACCACACTGAGGCTTTGAAGTAGACAGAAGGAAAGGAAATTAGTGATAGCACAAAATCTGTTGCATATACTTAGGTAGTTTCTATAAGAACATTAAAACACATACCATGTTTACACTTGTGGTAGCTTCTTTAGCAATTCCATGCTGCTCTAATAATGGTAGAATATTAGTCATATAGGTATCCCACCACATGTTGAGGAATTCTGGGTGAACTACTTTAGGGTCATCCATATTGCCTTTTATGCTTTTTGTTTTGGAGTCATATGTATAGTTCCATGGCTTTGTGCTTCCCAGGAAATGCACCACTTTAGTATTTGCACCAAACCTGTTGAAAAGAAAACATCAAAACCACCTAGTTTCTGCAGGTGTCTAGAAAACAAGAGTTTTGGTTGTCAAACAAATTTTTAACCTGCTGTCTTTGTAGGTGTCCAGAAAACAAATATGAATATATTTAGAAAACTAAATACTAAATAATAAAACTGCCAATGCCTACTGGGACTGAAAGCATCACTATATAACGGAAAAAAAATGCAGACAATTCTATGTTACACTAGTCAGAATACAGCCAAAGCCTAACAGACTGAACTATTTAAGTACTTACAGTCAAGTCTTTAGGTAGAGTGATGTCCATAGCTTGGGAGAGAGCAGTCTCAAGAAGCCACTGCAATTGGAACTAGTTGTAAAAGTGAAAAAGATTCTACTCCAGTCAGTAATCCTGATAACTATGCATTACAAGCATTAAGTAAAGAAGGGTCAGTAATAGTTACCCTTATAGACTACAGCCCTGTATAAAGGAACATCAGAAGGCCCTGTTGCAAGACTACCTCTACAAAATAAAGCCTCTCATCTCTCTGTCTCTCTCTCTCTCATATACACACACACACAATATCAAAGTAAAGGCTATAATCTAGACATTTCAGAGGACATCTAACCTTGCTGCAGGATCTTGGTAGACGGTCAGCTGTTATTTTTCTAAATAATCTTACTTTGTTTTTTAAAACATTTCTTTAACAATTTTAACTCCCTTTCAATATGGACTTGAAGCTTTTGTCCTGTTACTATGTTCTTTTGTAATACAAGAGTAGATAATATCCATCCCTTTTGTAGTAAAGAACTTATACTAAGAGACAGCATTCATTTAATTCCTCTGTGATTCCAGAAATAGCATTCAGCTTGAGTCAGTTTGGAGAACAAGCAATACTACTCTCTCTAGTAATAGTGACTGTCTCACCTAGCTCATTTTGTGTCATGTTAGGATTTCTCAAAATACTAATGAAATGAATAATAATGCCAAACTGGTTTGTCTAACAGCTTTCTTTATTTAAGCATACTTTGGTCATTTGGACCAGGATTTGATTGAGTTATGCAACATACAAAGACTGTGCAGGTATGTTTCAAAGACTGTACAATATTCAGAACAAAGCAATATGCATTTAGATGGGGATTTTGAGCTATTGTGGTATTTGACTATTTCC